AAGGACCCCATACCACACCACCACGTTTTTTTTGTTGTTCTTCGTGTCTTTATGGATATTACTGAAATTGTACGGCTATCAGTCTGACTCCGTAGAGGATCAAATTACCAACTTACGAGTGGCTCTGAAGAGGAAGATCCCTTCATTTTATAGGATCCTCAAGCTCTTGTAATATGATTTTTGTTGTAGCCCGTTCTCATACGAGAGAACCAGTCTACGAGAAATCTGATCGAGTGAACTCCACCAGATCTCTCTACTCTCACCTTTTCTTACCCAGAACCCGTCCTCCAGTCTCCTTTTGTTATTATTTTTTGTTATTTTTGTAATAGATTCTCCTCAATGAATTCCTATTTATTTTGTTGTTTGTTTTGGTCAGTGACAGACACCTTGAGCTTACTCTTCCATCAAGGTTTCCGTATTCGTGCTCGTCGCTGATTTTAGAGAGGCGGGGAGGCCTTACAGAGGGGGAGGTAGGCTGCGTAGGGTTTCCCTTGGTTGTGAAGTCTGTGGCATAGCGTAGTTCCACTCCACCGCAATAAAGAATTTTGCCACCCGCTTAGAGAAACATAGTTTCATCAGGGGTACATCATCAATTATCGCAAATTGAACTCGCAGTGGATGAAGAGCGGGGCAACACAAGAGGTGCAGAGCTATTTCTTCGCATTCGTCGCGTTGACTGGTGTGCGTGAGTGGGTTGATATCCGTGTCGTGACACTAGGTGTAGAGTTAGGCCTGACTTACTCATATACACTGACGACCGCATGAGGGGCAGACTAATGCCGGAAGGTCTCTTGTTTTTGTTGTCTTGTATCTTGCGTTGGGGTGGAATTTGATTTGTTGACATTCCCTGTCTATAATGGAATTTTCTGCAGTGTATTACGAGGGAGTCTAGGTGGGCGTAGAACTTCTGGCAGACTCCGCATTGGACTTTTTCTCTGTTCTCACGCTCCGGTGTTGGCGACGTATCTCGCTGGCGTTTCTTATTTCGTGGAAACGTTACTTGTATTGTTGTTGGCGGAATTGGAGTTCCAGGTGGATGTTGGAACTTTTTATGGCATGCGAGAGCTCCAATGTTGCCAAAGTCGCGTAGACAAAATTCGCATCGTAGTGAAGCAGGCTG